GTCTCTTTATACTTTGGGGAAATTTCGGATGACAGTATTTCAAGGTTTGTTAAACCACTATAGACATCATGTTTAATCCATCTCTGAATAGACTGACATAACATTTCATTTTAAATTACTTGGCTTTTGCAGCTAGCAAAATTAATTCATCACTTTTAAATTAGCAACGTTAATGAGGAGTGAATCCACATATTGAAGAACTTTTCATTTAGTTTCATCTTTTCCAGTGAACCCTTGTTGCAGAATTTCTGTTAAGTGGTACTATCCTTGGACTTTAAGAAGTAAAATGAGCAAAGGAAGGCAATTTGAGAACCCACTGTAGAATATATTGGATCATTGTGAATCTCAGTTGGGGATAATGGAACCATGGGACATGTCTTGTGTTGTGAGTACACTGATTAGAGATGGAGCAGAAGGCTCTGTCCATGTGACAACCTTCCATAGAGGTACTATGCCACATTGATTTGATATATGGAAGCTAGACCCCTGCAGGAGTAACTGGAAGGCATTAAGTGTACTAGTACATGCCATGCTGAGTACTTAGGAGTTTACTACGATGGTCACCACAGCTCTGCTACACATTGCTCAGAGCAGGCTAGCATTTGACTGTGTGTGTGTTCACGCATGTGTTTATAACACATTTTGATATCCTTTGATGAAATGTTTTACTTGTATTACTGTATTGGAATGTTTTCAAACATCCCTACACCTGGAGTTTTATAAATATATACAGACATATATCTGATGATTTTGGTTGTATAAACAAGACCCTTTTAATTTGCTTTGTGGTTTCCTACCCAGGAAGTTTAGTTCATGGTTCATAAAGTGTAACATAAGCCATAACGTTTAAGTGATGAAGTATGCAATGGCATTTAAACAGTTTGCCTTACATTGTCCACCTCTGTTACAATTTGGATCGTCATGTTACCGGCATTGTGGACTCTCTGTTTCTTTAAGAGCCAAGTTCTTTATTTGTTCAGGGCCTTTGCACCTGTTCTTCTCCCGTCCTAGTATGCTTTTCTCTCAAATCCTTACAGGATTGATTTCCTCTCATCTTTTGGGTCTTAGCTAAATGCCACCTTCTCGGACATTTTTCTCAGGCCACCCTAATCTCTTTCCTTCTCTATCACATGATCCTATTTCCTTTTCTTAAATATATTTTTATTGATTTCAAAGAGGAACGGAGAGAAAAAGAGAGATATAAACATCAGTGATGAGAGAGAATCATTGATCAGCTACCCACTGAGGATGGAGCCCGCAACTGGACATGTGCCCTGACTGGGAATGTATCATGACCTCCTGGTTCATAAGTCGATGCCCAACCACTGAGCAACACCAGCAGGGCAATTCTATTTCTTTCATAGAGTTATCACACTCTTGAATCATCTTATTTAGTTATGTGTATATATTCTCCGACGAAAATGTGAATTACAAAGAGGCCCTTCTCTATCTTGTGCCTAACACAGTGACTTCCACATAGTAAGTGGTCAATAAATCATTGGTAACTAAAAGAATATTGTTTTATAGCAGCTCCATTATTTGGTACTTATGGTTTTATATGTCCTGTCATGGTAACTATTGCATCTAAATTATGTAGTTGTTATCTTTGAATTCTCCTTAATGTTAGACCAGTTTTATTTTATTTTATTTTTTTATTTTTTTATTGCTTAAAGTATTACAAAGGATATTACATATGTGTCCTTTTTTTCCCCCCGCCCTTGACAATCCCCTGGCTTCCCTTACCCCCCAGTGTCTTATGTCCATTGGTTATGCTTATATGCATGCATACAAGTCCTTCGGTTGATCTCTTACCCCCCTCCCTCCTGCCCCCCAACCCTCACTGGCCTTCCCGCTGCAGTTTGACAATCAGTTTGAGGCAGCTCTGCCTCTGTATCTATTATTGTTCAAAAGTTTGTAATGGTGTTAGACCAGTTTTAACATGCCAACAGCTTAAACTTACAGAATGTTACATGTCTAATTTATTCAATAAAAAGTTTTTTTAAGTATAATAATTACAGTAATAGTAGCTACCATTTATTTAGCAACTACTATGTGCCTGGTATTGTTCAAGTGGCTGTCCATTTATTATTCCTAATGATAATGCCAACTACTTTATAGAGCTACTGTAAGATTAACTAAAACAGGGTATATAAAAGATCCTAGAGCAGGTAATTTATATTCTTTTTTAAATTCAGTATTAATATTTTGTTTTGCATGTTCTTTCAGTCATCAAATATTTATTGACCACATATATCATCTGTGTGTCCTTGGGCAAGTTACTTAACCTCTTTGGACTTCAGTTTCTTTATCCGTAAAATGGAAATAATAGTAGTACCTCATGTGAGGACAATGAGTTAATAATATATGTAAAGCACTTAAGTACTGCCTGTTGTGTAATAAGTTATAGCATTTAAAATGTTAAATATTTTCTGGCTGTATGAAGAAAACTAAGGGACTTTGCTGAGAAACATAAGACATTTGAATATGAAACATAACACTTTCTGAAGTTATAATCAGTAATGTAAAAAAATATCACATCTTTCTAAATTCATGTATAAATGAGATGAAATTTCAATCTGAATTCCAAAGAGCTATTTTAAAATTGAAACTCATGAAAATAATTTCAAAGGTTAGGAGACCAGCCTAGAAAATTTAGGAAAAAAAATAAAGAGAAGGGATTTGCTGTACCTTCAAAACACAATGCAGTAATTGAGACAGTCTGGTGCTGGCAGAAGAGAAAAGGGAAAAAATAAGTGGAATTTATTTGGAATCAGAATTAGCAAGCTAGTGTAAGAATTCAGAATTGGATCAGAAGACATTTCAAATCAATGCAGAAAGAATGGATTATATAATAAATGGACTTGGGACACTTGGCTAATCACTTGGAAAGAAGTTGGATTGCTACTTTGTACTTTACACTAAAAAAATATCCCACACTCACTGAAGATTTAAATATAAAACATGGCCCTAGCCGATTTGGCTCAGGGGATAAAAAGCATCAGCCAATGGACTGAAGGGTCCTGGTTTGATTCCTGTCAAGGGCACATGCCTGGGCTGTGGGATCGGTCCCCAGTAGGGGGCGTGCAGGAGGCAGCCGATCGATGATTCTCTCTCATCATTGATGTTTCTGTCTCTCGCTCTCCCTCTCCCTCCCTCTCTGAAATAAATAAAAATATACTTAAAAATAATAATAAAACATGAAACAGAGTCATCCACATCCACCATACAGGAAGAGCCCCCATCCTGATACACCCTTCCTCCCTTCTTTCTCTCTAGCTGCACGGTGGCCAATCAGCTGAGCAAAGAGCGTATTATTGCACCCGAGGAGGTTTTCACCTATCTAGCAAAGATGGTACCAACACCATCACAAAAAGGAATTGGGAACTAGAATGTGACAGAAACAAAAGAGCAGTATGGATGATAAGGCCATCATACATTACCATCATGGCTAGACTGTGATGAAAAGTATGAATAGCTAACATTTGTCCAGCACTTATGCATTGAGCAGTGTGTAAGTGCTTTACCTACATTAATTCACTTAGTTCTCACATGAGCTAGTATGATTATTATCCTCATTTTATGGACAAGGAAACCAAGGCCCACGGAGGTTTAATAACTTGCCAAAGGTCAAACACTTAGTCAGTGGCAAAGCCAGCATTCCAGCCCAGGAGTCTGCACCCTAATCCACTTTGCTACATTACCTATCTAAGAAACTAAAAGATACAGACAATGAAGAAGAAACCAGTGCAGCAAAACCATGTCATGTGAGTGCAAAGAGGAGAAAACCTAATAGGAGAAAGAACAGATCAATTGCTTGGAGAAATAGATATTGATGGAAATGGACTAGTATCTATCAAGACATAAGGATGATGATCCCAAGGTGAAAACCCGATTTTAACTGTCTTTTCTCCCTAAAGATGTATCAGATTAACTCATTTTAAAAGACCATTTATTTGTTCTTTCTCTGTAGCAAACCCACGTCCAAAATACCTCTGAACATACACAAGAAAAACCCACTTGTATTACTTGATGATCTTTTCCCCAAAAGATCAAACTATACATCTGTTTACAATGTAAATGCTTGTGATAAATGACAAGGAAACACTTAGTAGCCTCCTTAAAGTTCTCTTTGTGAAAGATTCTTAACACTAACTTGTTTTCATGCAGCTTCGCAACTGTGCAAAGTCAAATCTTGAAGGGGCTCACAGGCAGCGTTAATGATTTAGACCAGGGGTGGGCAAACTTTTTGACTCGAGGGCCACAATGGGTTCTTAAACTGGACCGGAGGGCCGGAACAAAAGCATGGATGGAGTGTTTGTGTGAACTAATATAAATTCAAAGTAAACATCATTACATAAAAGGGTACGGTCTTTTTTTTTTTTTAGTTTTATTCATTTCAAACGGGCCGGATCCGGCCCACGGGCCGTAGTTTGCCCACGGCTGATTTAGACCATGCGGATGGCAATGGGAAGCCACAGAAAGGTGGTTAAGTAGAGAACTGCTATGGTTTGACGATATCTCTCTGGGTGCTCTGAAGAGTGGACTTCAAGGGGACAAGATAGAAGACCCATTTAGAAGGCTGTTCAGAAAACCCAACTGAAAGTGATAATAAGAAGGGAGAGAAGTGAACAAGGTTGAAATGTATTTTGGAAGCCACATTGACAGGACTTACTGGTGAACTGGATGTGAAAAACAAGGAGAAACCAAGAATGACTCCTGGTGTTAGGACTTGAGTATTTGGGTTATGGTTGGTGGTTTCATTTATTAAGTTGAGGCACGGGGAGGAAGAATTGATGTGAAACAGTTGGAGAACAAAGCAGGGGTAGATATTGTCTAAGTGATCATTCCCAGACTTAAAGTATAAAGGATATTAAAACTGACATGTATGTGTAAATGTTACCGGATTTGTTGAGGAGAAAAAAATCCTTTTCCATTCTGCACCTCATCTCATGGGAGCTTTATCGCTTTGGTTAATCTAAGGCCTGTGCTTCTTTTCTCAGGTAACCCAGGATTTTCTGCCTTTTATGTGCCATTTGCAAAGGCTTTATACTCTTCAGTAAACAGGCGCTTCCCAGTTTGGATTATCAGTCACGCTGGCCATGTTCTGGCCCCCAAAGACAAGAAGATTCTTGCCGCTTCGGACGGTATGTCTTTATCAACATGTGCTTTCCTTTACAATGAGGAGTGTTCGTGTTTCCAGATAGCCCGCTAAGGTTAAGAGTGACACCAGTGCCTGTGGCATTGGGCCCAAGATGCCACATTTTAGTAATTTTAGGGTTTTTAGAGTCATTTTCATTGTTCTACAGGTAATTTTCTGTAAAAATCTGGGCAGATTAAACAGTTTGTCTAGGACTCCTCTATTTACCAACCAGTAATCAGCCGTATATTGACTGAGCATGCACTGCATTTCCAGGGTGGTACTATGAGGAGTGGTGGAGAAAAATTATTGTAAATCATGCTCCTTAGCCAGGGTCCTTACTTTAAAGAAGCTCTTACTGGCACTTAGAATAAGTGATAAACAAGCCTGCTGATCACCTGGGGACTTAGGGCGTAAACAAAGGAGAGACCATGTGTGGGTTTCAAAAGACTTGGTGGAGTAGGGACCTCATGGGTGGGGTGGCCTAGTTCTTTATCTGCTCTTTGCTAGTCGCTGTGACATACAGCTGGCTGTGTGTTTATTCAAGATGAGTGTCTTTGGAAATGGAGGCCTCCTTAATCAAAGCCTCAATGCCAGCCTCTCACCTGCTCTGTGTGAGGTGATGGATGTATCAACTGGATTGAGGTAATCATTTCTCAATGTATATATTTATTAAGTCATCACACTGCACCTTTAAAAACAGTCATGTGTATAACCTAAATATGTGTGATTTGTATTTTTCAATCATACTTCAGGAAAGCTGGAAAAAGAGAAAAAAATAGTTGTAGTAAGTGGACACTGGGTACATGGGGGTTTATTATACTACTCCTTGTACTTTTATGTATGTTGGAAAGTTTCCACTGTTGAAAAAAAATAGTTTTCAAGAAATAAAGAAGGATTATAGAATCTTAGACCTAAAAGTGTCTCCATCAAATCCCACCTGGAACCCTTATTTTTCAAGGATGGAAAGACCCAGCAGAGCTAAATGGGCTGCTAGTGAGTCGCAGGACCTCAGCAGGAAGCCAGCACTTCAGTATTCAGTTCAGCGCGTGCTGCTGGTGGGTCATCTCAGTTGGCCGTGCTGGGAACTACTGAGGCTGAGTTGTCAGGCTTAGTGCTCTGAGCTGATTTCTAGATTAGACCTTCCATGGTCACAAGTTATACCCTCTAGTCTGTGACCCTTTTCCTGCTGTGACTCGTAAAGGGGACAGGATAAATGGAGTGTAGATGAAACAAGGAACTCATTGCAAGTGCTTGCATAAACACTCTTCTATGTGCCTTTTTCAGAGTGTCTTTTTCTCTCTGTTTACGTGTATGTGCCTGTGTATGTATCCCCCTGGGAATACAGCCTACTTAAGAGATGTTTACACTTTGCTTAAAGACTAGGGTATATACTTTGAAACTAGTATGTTACATAGTATTAAACTAGTATAATCAATGTAGGTAGACATTGATTACCTAGCAGTGAGTGATTCTAAGTTCACTGAATATTTCAGTTATTGCCTTGATTAAAAACATCTATTTCAACAACCCATCATATTGAAATGTGACTGAAAGTGAATAAAATGTACAGCAAATACTTGCTCTGCTATGAAATATTGTAAAAGATACATTTTTATTGTCTTAAGTTACTTTTTGATATATGCCCAAAGACAGTTTTAGGTTCAATAAAGCAATCATTTAAGCAGAACATGAATAGCAACTTGGAAAGCTGAAAATGGATTCTTGAAGGGCAACCCTAGATCGGGGGCTCTCAGACTTGGGCATGGGTCAGAATCCCAGAAGGTGGTTTATTAAAACAGATTACAGGGCGCTACCCCCTGAGGGGTCCTTTCAGTTGGTGTGAGGGTAGGACCTGAGAATTTGCATTTCTAACAAGTTCCCAGGAGATATGGATGCTGCTGGTCCTGGGACCACATTTTTCAGAGCCTCTGCCATAGACCTTCACCAGTAAATGCTGGTGCGGAAAACCAGGAGAAGGTGCCTGGTACATGCCTGAATTTCTGGGAAATGCCTTTAATTTGTGTTTTAAATTGACATCTTGTTATTTATAACTTTAGTTTTTGTATGCTTATTGCTTAGGCCGCCCGTGTACTATTGAGGTAATAACTTAGTAATTAAAGCGTGGGTCCTTTGCTACCTCATGAGAACAGTGCCATCTAGAGGCATTAGCCCAAAGGGCCACCACAGGGCCAAGGAAGCTGTGGTTTCTAGAGGGGGTGAAAGGGCAACTCATCACATCAAGGGTTTATTGACAGCCTACTAGGTTATTATGTGTGGAGCTGCAGAGGTCTACACAGGAGTAGAAATGCCGCCTTTCAAGTTAGTGACAGTCCATCTGTGCTCTGGCTGGCCCAAAAGTTCTGGGAAGGGCAGGTGGAACTCCGGGCCTCCCTAGTACCCCGTTCACCCAGAACAGTTCCCCTTTCATCTGTTTTACATGTTGGAGGTTATGCTGGCAAATGCATGCTAGAGGACATTGCTTTGGATAGTCAGGACAGATATATTATTCATCATCCAAGATTATTATTCTAAAGTACAGGTTTTCTGACGTGCAAACTATGGTGTGAAATGTATGTAATCACTGAGAGAAAGGACATAAGCTATAACCACACATCAAGTGTTAAAAGTATGTTTTGCTTCATATTAGCACATGTTAGAATTATGAACAGTTGGAAATAATATTCTCGCTGCACCACATTATCACGCTCATAAATTGAGTATAATTGGGAGAACAGATGTTCACCAATGTCAGAAGGGGGTGACTCAGAAAAGGAGTGTGAAAAGAAAATTTGAGGAATTAGAAGTATAAGCTCTTTCTGGCTTTGATTTACTGTAGAGTCAGCTTCCTGGATGGCAGATTCATTATCAACTATTTGAAGTCATTTGTTCAAAAAGTATAACATAAAAGCTGGAAATCATGGTGGTTTAGTTTCAGCTGATAAAACATCTAAAAAAGTTACACAGTCTTTCAACTAATGATGAACCCGGGTCGTGCTTATCCAAAGAAACACTAAACCACTCCAGTTCCAGCCCTCAAACCTGAGAGAGAGAGAGAGAGAGAGAGAGAGAGAGAGAGAGAGAGAGAGAACGAGAACCCAGTAGAGCTTTCTCTCTTGCCAGGACTGTGATTAGCAGAAGGACTTGGAGGTAAAGTGGAATGACTAGATGAGCCCAAGGCAGAGACCACCTGACAATCAAGCCTCAGGGGCTCACAGTTACTAGAAATAAACAAGGAGGTCTCTAAGTAGGTAGGAGGAGTTAACAAGCAAACTGCTAGAGCCTCAGGGAAGACAGAAGGAGGAAGCACAGCAGGACTAGGGAGGAGCAATGCCTGTAAGGTCATGTGACACTGGCCAGATCACTGCCCCTCCAGTCACAATCCTTAGATATGTTCTCACTGCTCACACTGTGGGGTCCACACTCCTTGGTGATGTTCAGTGTCCTCTTGGATCCAGTCTCTGCCTTCCTCTCTAACCTTATTTGTTCCGCCTCTCCCCATAACCACAGACAGCCATGGACATCATAGCTGTATCCAAAATTACACCTAGCACATTTATGCCTTTTGCTTTTATTATTTGCTAAGTCTATAATATTATCTTCTCCTCGCTGAATCAGTCCATCTCTCACTATCTTTCTCTCTCTTCCCAGCCCCCATCATTTCCCCCATTGAAATTCCAGACCATTGGTTTTAGTCCAGTGGAAAGCATAATTTGATTACCCTGTATTTCACCATCTGTTTGGAGAATAATAATTAAAAACTATTCTATAAGACATGTTTGGAGTTTACAGAGTTTTTTGTTTGTTTTTTAAGTAAGGTGGCAGTTTTAAGTATAGCGCCTGCCTACCATCCCCTCTCTGTGTGGCATGCCTTGAAGGCTAACAGACTCCCACCAATGTTTAGGTACAGGGAGGTTACAGAATACTTGGGGAGCCGGGGACAGTCGAGGCCTAAAGGTGAGAGTGTACTTTCTCATCAGCTTAGAAAACTCCAGGCACAGTCGTGAAAGGAAGACCTTTGCACCGGTGACTTAAGTGAGCGCAAAAGACTGGAGACAGTGCTCATCCTCTGCCTCCCGTGTTTAGCACGAACCTAGAAAAGTCCTTAGGCGCTTTTGTATTCCATTGGGAGTAATGAAGAAGTGACTGGTGGTTTCCCTATAAAATTAATGTGGGATAGCTAGGAACAGCATTCTTAATTTAAAACTTTTATTTTGAGAAAGTCTTTTTTTTTAAACTATAGAGAAGGACAATTATATAACAGTCTAAGATTCTGTTATTCACTACTCTTTAGATAGTTAACACTGCCCTAATTACATATTTTTGTTAATTAAATAAGTAATACTTACCCTGTGCTAGTCACAGAGGATGCAGAGATGAAGAGATGGACCTTGCCTTCATGGAGCTCACAGCCTAAGAGAGGAAATAAACAGGCACCCGTACAGTTGTGCAAAGGGCTATAGTCAGAGCGGAGTACTGGTTAAACGCAAAGGAAGGCTCATTTCTTTTTCTTGAAGATTAGCTCTAGATAACGTTTTAATTAGTCTTGAGGAATCTAGAGGACAGTTCATTTGTTGAGAGGAAAAGAGGCGATTTCAGGTCAGAACTGTGCTGGTTAAAAGAAACAGCTTACAGCATTTCCACAGTCTGAGTTCTTCAGGCAAACAAAGATTATATTAAAAAATGAAGCATGTCATGGGGTTTCTTAGTTTTTTATGGAGAATATAAATTAGCCTAACTAGTGGTTCTCAGCATATGACCCTAGGACAGCTGTGGGCAAACTACAGCCCGCGGGCCGGATCGGCCCGTTTGAAATGAATAAAACTAAAAAAAAAAGACCGTACCCTTTTATGTAATGATGTTTACTTTGAATTTATATTAGTTCACACAAACACTCCATCCATGCTTTTGTTCCGGCCCTCCGGTCCAGTTTAAGAACCCATTGTGGCCCTCGAGTCAAAAAGTTTGCCCACCCCTGCCCTAGGACCAGCAACTTCAGCATCTCCTGGAAACTTGTAAATGCAGATTCCCAGGCTCCAGCCCAGACCTGTTGGATCAGGGACTCTGTGGCGGGGCCCAGCGGTCAATGTTATAACAAACCCTGCAGAGGGTTCTGAGATCCATTGGCCTGAACCAGTGGTTCCCAAACTTATTTGGCCTACCGCCCCCTTTCCAGAAAAAATATTACTCAGCGCCCCCTGGAAATTAATTTTTTAAAAATTTTAATAGCAATTAAACAGAAAGATATATGTATTAATGTTTCTACCTTTTTCGTAAAATATAGTAAAGAAAGGTGTAAATTAGAAACATTGAAGTTTGAAATTATGAAACTATTTATTGAACTCAGAATAGAAAGGTAATACAAAAAAAGTTAAAACAAATGCACCTGTGGCCATCACCGCCCCCCTGGATCGTTGCAGCACCCACCAGGGGGCGGTAGCACCCACTTTGGGAATCACTGGCCTGAACGAACAGTAGTTTAGGGATATTTGAATATTTATGAAATAGCCATGGAATATTTGAATAGTCTCGGAATATTTGAAAATTCATGGACCGTGAGGAGAGGGAGACCTGGTTTGAGTCTCCCCCTCTTACTTAGTAAGTATGTGTCTGTCATTCTATCACCTGATGTCTGTGAGCTTCTGTAAAATGAACATACTGACACTTTCTGTCCGGGGTTGTTGTTAAGGTAATCTAAGTAGTGCCAAACATACTAGCTAGCACACTGTAGGCGTTACATAATTGGTAATTACTGTTACTATTACTGTTATTTTAAAAATATTTTCCCCAGTGAATTTATTACTTTTTCTTATTGAATAAAAAACATGCTTATATTTTTGGTTTTAGATCCAAATGCTCAAGAAATTAAGGACATCTATGGACTCCGTGGTCAAGTAGAACACAAGGTCGCTTTCCTGAGAACTCATGTGCCAAAGGAAACCAAGCTGGTGGTCATCGGCCATTCAATAGGCAGCTATTTTGCCCTTCAGATTTTGAAGCACGCGCCCGAGCTCCCGGTAAGTGTGCCCCAGGAGGCGGCTGTGGGCGCCGGTTGTGCACTTGCACAGATCCCCTCGGTTTTCCTTTGTCCTTGTGTGTCTTGTTTAATTGACAAATGGAACAGAGAGAGGATACTTGGCAGCTGCCTTTATCCTTTTCCCCATATTACTGTGGGCCTGTGCAAGTGTATGGTCATGCTATTTCCATGTTTGAAAAAATAATGCTGAAGGAGGTAGGAATTTTCCAACTGAATGTCTTTTAATCTAGGGTTATCTGGAATTCTTTAGTTGCATGTAACTTGTTGTCTTTTATGAAGGAATATTTAAGAGCGGTCACTAGGTAAGACTTAGATAAGAATCTATCTTTATGTGGGAGAGTATTTTGTAAATGTTCATGCCTGTTTATAAAAGGAAGAAAATGTATCATCATCATTGATAGGAAAACAGCTGTCTTTATGAAACACAAAATCTTAATTTATTTAGGCCCAAGTATGAATTCTTATCAGTTCTATAGCTTGGCAGGCTTTTTGAGACACTTATTGATTCATTCATCCATTGATTCATTCATCCATTGATTCATTCATTCATAAATACTAATTAGGTGCCACTATGTGCCAGAGACACTGGAGACACAACAACCTATTGAAAGTGCTCAGGAGAGAGTGAAACTACAAGAGACTTCAAAACAAAACTTCATACTTTCAGTAACACATACCATTGAAATAACCCATTGAATGGATGCGATTCACAATATAAATTATTTTTTCATTCAACAAACATCTATAATAATAAAAGGGTAATATGCTAATTACACTGGATAACCTTCCAGACAAAGCAGGGGCTGTGAGGGAAGCCTGGGTCCCAGGTGCCAGAGGGAAGCCGGTGCCGGCAGCCAGGGGAAGGAAGGCCTACTCTTGCATGAATTTCGTGCATCGGGCCTCTAGTATTAAATACTTGCCATATGTCAGACCTCATGCTGTGGTTTGAGAACTTCCCAATGAATGAGGCAGTCTTTGAGGTAAGAGAGTCTGAAGTCTGAAGGAGGAGACAGACTAAGCCATGGGTGTGATTACTGCTAAGTAGCTGCAGGGTGTGTGGGAGCATGAGTGCCATTGAACCTGGTCATCAGGAGGCAAGGTAGGAAGTGATTCCTTCCTTTTGCATGGCTTCTGCTCTCTTCTGTGCCTCCTGACTCTCCTCTATGTCAGGAGGTTGCCATCTTTTTTTTTTTAATATATATTTCTTTATTGATTTCAGAGAGGAAGGGAAAAGGAGAGAGAGAGAGAGAAATATCAATGATGAGAGAGAATCATTGATCGGCTGCCTCCTGTATACCCCCTACTGGGGATCGAGCCCGCAACCCAGGCATGTGCCCTTGGCCGGAATTGAACCTGGGACCCTTCAGTCCTCAGGCTGACGCTTTATCCACTAAGCCAAGCCGGCTAGGGCAAGAGGTTACCATCTTTGCCCTGACTGGTTTGGCTCAGTGGATGGAGCGTCGGCCTCCGGACTGAAGGGTCCCAGGTTCGATTCCAGTCAAGGGCATGTACCTTGGTTGCGGGCACATCCCCGGTGGGGGGTGTGCAGGAGGCAGCTAATCGATGTTTCTCTTTCATGTTTCTCTCTCATCGATGTGTCTAACTCTATATCCCTCTCCCTTCTTCTCTGTAAAAAAATCAATAAAAATATGTTTTTAAAAAGAAAAAGAAAAAAAGAGGTTACCATTGTTACAAGCCCTGTCACTTAGTGGTCCTGTTTGCACAATTGCTGTGAGCCCTGGCACAACACCGAAGTTCAGATATATCCACAAATACTTGCTTTGTCATCTTTTGTCAGGGTGACTTTGGACAATTTATTGAGTCTCTCTGTACCTCTGTTCTTCATCTATAAAGTGGGGGTAATATGTCCTTCAAAGGATTTTTTGAGGAGTGCTATAACGAATTAGAAAGGGTGCCTAGAAGTTAAAAGTTTGCTGTAGGTGTTAGTGACTATTATGGAAATGACTGTGGATTATTACCTCCGTCACTAGGTTAACTGTTGTGTAAGTTATCTACTGCTGTGTAACAAACTGCTCCAAAAACTTAACAATGTAAAACAATATATGTTTATTTTCTCACAGTTTCTGTGCGTCTAGGACCTGACCATGATTTATCTGGGTCCTCTGCTTGAGGGCCTTTCATAAGTCTTTAATCAAAAGGTCTCATCTGAAAAATCGAGTTGAGAAGGAGTTGCTTACAAGCTCATTTGCATGGTTGTTGGCAGGACTCAGTTCCTCGAAGGTTGTTACACTGAGGGTCTTGGTTCATCCCTGATAGCTGGCTGGATGCCACCGTCATTTCCTTAATGCTTGGGAAGAGCAAGTGTGGGAGAAGAGCCAGAGAGGGAGTCTGCTGGCAAGATGGAGGTCACAACTGTAACCTAATTACAGAAATGATAGTCCCATTACCTTTACGGTATTCTCTTTGTTAGAAGCAAACCACTAGGTCCAGCCCCCACTGAAGAGGAGCGGATTACACGAGAGCATGAACATTCAAGGAAAGGATCCCTGGGAGCCGTGTCCCACCACTCCTACAGTTAGGATTTCACTGGTGTGGTGTACAATCAAGCATGTAGAAACACACACATAATTTATTTCCCAGTCTAGGAAGTGACTTGGTCCTGTCAAATGAAATGTAGCAAACTGATACGAAATAAAATTTTCGTTATTAGTTGTTCTGGGTGTTTTTAAAGCTTTAAAAACATTTTTAAAAGAGTACTTGCACATTTGAAATAATAATAGCATTACTGTTTGTGATGGCTAATTTTATGTGTTAACTAACTGGGATAAGGACACCCAGATAGCTGGTGAACATACTTGTGAGTTTGTCTGTGAGCACGTTTCCAGGAGAGGTTATTGTTTGCACCAGTAGACTGAGAACAGAAGACCGATCCTCTCCCTGTGGTCTAGCATCGTGCAATCCTTTGAGGGCCAAAAGAGAACAAAAACTCTGAGGAAGGGTGAATTCTTTCTCTCTCACTTCTTGAGCTGGGACATCCACTTTCTCCTGCCCTAGGTCATTGGGTCTATGGGTTCTCAAGCCTTCAGACTCCAGGGCTCACACTGGTGGCACCCCCAGTTCTGAAGCCTGATTACACCACTGGCTTTCCTGCTTCTCAGCTTGCAGAGGGCAGATTGGCTAATTGCATGAGCCAGGCCCGCCACTAAGTCTCCATATATATAATACATCCCCACGTATCTTCTATTGCTTCCGTTTCTCTGGAGAGCCTTGATGAGTAGTACACTATTGTATAAACACTGGGAAGAAAATATTCACTTCTGTGTCCTTCAGTTTATTGACTTAATCACAGATCTGTTCTTGGGGTTTTTGTCTGTTCGCTCCACACCCGTTCTGCATGTAGTGCATCATCTCTCTCATGCATCTGTAAGAAGAGTTGTTCTACACATTTGTTCGGAACCCACCTCCCTTTTTGACTCTCGTTCACAAGTCTGTCGGGGAAGAAGTACAAGGCACCTGAAGGTCAGTGTAGCTTCCTAGGACTTCTTCAGCTTTAGGACTTTCTGATTCTTGCTCCACCTTCAGGTGCTCTTGCCCTTGTAGGAATCGTAGGGAAAAGGGAAAAGGAAGAGAAAACACGAGCTTAACCTAGTCTGTTTGTGGACACATAACTCACGCTGTGATTATAGAGTTTTCAGAGAGACATGTGAAACTGTGTTTTCTTAAGAAGGGTGTATTTTAGAAAATAACTCGTGCAATAAATTGTCCATAAAGGTCACCCGGGGTGGAGGGTGACCATCTGTATGATTTTTTTTTTTGTTATTCAAAAGCTTTATCTGGTTTCAATTAGCTACATTGTTGAAGTCCCCCCACCCCTCTTTAGACACCTGGCCCAGTTAATTTTGGTGGTATGATCCCTGCCGAAGTGTTGAAATTTCAGTGTCTCTAGGCTACTCTACGACGGCACCGTGCCTGCATGCCTGAAGTTAGCATGACACGCTCCATTTAAGATGCATTTGACAATCAAATAAGTTTGTGTAAGCCAGTGTTGCAATCCCTAATCATTTTGCCAAAAATAAGTTAACTGTTATGTTTTATAACATATGAAGTGTGATAATAAGAAACTTGTGTTTCCATCTCTTCTGTTATTTTTACTGGAATATTTGACTCCCATAAGATTTTAAGGACATATGTGTAGTTTAGTAGCTGGTTTGCTTGGTTTTATTTTGGTTCAGTTCTTTACCATATTTTTGTAACTAATTATAGGAAACTTTGGTCTTAAAATCATTATTAGAGATTTATTGCACATTTTTAACATAGTCTGACCTATATTTTAAAATACTAAAAAAAATAGCTCTTTTAAAAATCTGGCATTAAAGTATCTTTTTCTTTAAGCAAATTTGATACATAGAATTATAGAAATTCTTCATATGCTTTGACAGTAAAGTTCAGAAGAAAGGATTTTAAAAGAGCATGAGAAACTAGGTAATTAGGGGGCTGTTAAATAGTAGCTGTCATGACTTACAATAATAAACACGATTTTAGACTCATGGGATCTTAGCACTGAGATGGGCTTTAGAGACAGACGGTCTAGTCCCATCTTTCATTTTATAGAGGGGAACTGCGAGGAAAGTGCCTTGCCAGGACTCAGCCTTGGCTCTGTCTGACTCCAGGGTGGGGCATGTTATATTAGCTGTGGGTACAGAGAGTCTAGGAAGTCGTTTGATAGCTCTTTCAACCTTGGGGTACTAGCAGAGCCTACAGCTGTTCCCGGAGTATGCTCATGTGACTCATCACGTTTCGGCTCCAGGAATGAGAGACCCCATGAAGATTGCTCTAGCAGTTGGGGTGGGGCTAGGAGGTAACATAGAAACAAAGAAGTAGGAGTCCTATCCCTCTACCTAGAATCTTCTGTCTCTCAAGATCAATCCTTCATATATTTAAAATGGACCATCTGATTTTGCCAATAAATTGTATAAAGTTCAAGGTTGCGTGTTGAAAGCACTTGATTCTGAGCTGGGC